AAGGTGGCTCAGTGGTAGAGCGCTTGCCTTGCATGCCTGAGGCCCTGGGTTTAATTCCTCAGCACCACATAAGCAAAAAAGAAAAAATCCAGAAATGGCGCTGAGGCTCAAGTGGTAGAGCGCTAGCCTTGAGCTGAAGAGCTGAGGGACAGCATCCAGGCCCAAAGTTCAGGCCCCACAACCGGACCAAAAAAAAAAAAGGGGGGGGGGAATTAATACCTGTTGTGTATTCACTATGATGATATTTTGCAGACAAAATCTTTATAACAACCTATAAGGCCACAGATATTATCATTCTGTTTTGCAGATGAGAAAACTGAGATAGGAGCTAGTCAAAGGATACTCACCAGTGACTGCTGAAGCTCCATACCACACTGCCCATATATAATGGGAGGGTTAAAGGTTTAGTTAATCATGGAAACTTGCTTTTCTTAGATCAGAGGTTGCCCTGCCTGTCTGTGCAGGTCTTCAGGTATCTTGATGTCTACAGCTCCCTGTGACCCATGAGCCAGGCCACACCCTCCATTCCCACCAGGACCTCCGAGTTCTATTCTAAGCCTCTCTCATCTCTAAATGTAGGAGACCTACTATTTTTGGTTTGAAACAGACTTAGATCGATGTCTTTCGTCTTTTGCTTCCTGAGAGACTCCCTTGTGAGCAGTTTTAGATTGAGATTAGAATTTAACATAAAACAAATTATAATGTCAGTTGAATGCATCTCTTCCTGCTAGTGTCTATTCCCTATTCCTTCTGTCTCCTCTCCACCCTTATCCAGGACCTGGACATTCAGAGTATGCAGTGAGCCCTTTAAAAGAAATAAAAACAAATAAAAAACAAACAAACAAAAAAGGCCAGGCGCTGGTGGCTCACGCCTGTAATCCTAGCTACTCAGGAGGCTGAGATCTGAGGATCGCGGTTCAAAGCCAGCCCGGGCAGGAGAGACCATGAGACTCCTATCTCCAAAATCCACCAGGAAACCGGAAGTGGCGCTGTAGCTCAAGTGGTAGAGCGCTCGCCTTGAGCTGAAGAGCTGAGGGACAGCGCCCAGGCCCAGAGTTCAAGCCCCACGACTGACAAAAAAAAAAGAAAGAAAGAAAGATGTTGCTGGATGCCAGTGGCTCATGCCTGTCATTCTAGCTATTCAGGAGGCTGAGATCTGAGGATTGAGTTTTGAAGCCAACCCCAGGCAAGAAACTCTGTGAGACTCTTCTCTCCAATTAACTACTTAAAAAGCTGCAAGTGGATCTGTGGCTTAAGTTGTAGAGTACTAGTCTTGAGCAAAAGAGCTCAGGGATAGCACTCAGGCCCTGAGTTCAAGCCCAAGCGAGGCTCCAAAGAAAGAAAGAAAGATGCTATGGGTTTAAAGGCTGAGCCATGGAGTCTTTGGTATCTCTCCATGGTTACCACTGCAAGGACTGGTTGTGAATCCTTCCCCACCCATGTGCACTGACCTCTTCCAATCTTGGGTTTCTCTTCTATAGAATGAGACTAATTAATAATGGTGTTCTCAGAGGGTTGCTAGGAGAGAAAAATCACATGAAGCATCTTTGTGGTTGGCTCAGATCTAACTCATAGTAATTCTCCATAGTGTATCTGTATATGGAGGAGAAAGGCTTAATTAGTGGGTGGAAGAAGAGGTACAGAACAGTAAATGGGCTTGACTGACCCTTGGCTCTTTTCTCATTTGTGTGTGTGTGTGTGTGTGTGTGTGTGTGTGTGTGTGTGTGTGTGTGAGAGAGAGAGAGAGAAAATAGGCTTGAGCTTCTAACTGTGATGGTCCTGTTGGACTTTGGGAAGCAGGAAAGGCCTCAGTCTCCTGCAAATGTATTGCCATGTTTTCTTCTCCTCATAGCAGCAGCTTGCTGAGAGCTAGGGTTCTTGTCAGCCAAATGGGAGGTAGGGTGTCACTCCAGACCAGTTTTGCTAAGGTAAAGAAGTACCTGTCAAATTAAAGAACACAGCAGTGCACAGAAGGTTCTAGGTAATATGCCACCATTCCATCATTCTAATGGTAACAGATATGTCATCAGTTACATTATTTTCCTCTTTATATCTTATTCTCTGAGGGAAAAAAAATGAAACAACTTTTGGGGGGTGGGGACTTGTTGGTTGTGGGGTTTGAATTCAGGGTCTAGACACTCCCTGAGCTTTTCCAGCTCAAGGCTAGCACTCTACCACTTTGAGCCACAGCTCCACTTCGAGTTTTTAGGGGGTTAATTGGAGATAAGAGTCTCATGGACTTTCCTGCCTGGGCTGGCTTCAAACTGTGATCCTCAAATCTCAGTCTCCTGAGGAGCTTACAGGCATGAGCCACCAACATCTAGCTGGAAAATGTTTTTGTCATCACAAAACTTACATAAGAATTTAGAGGGCATAAGAAGCACTTTGGTCATGAAACTTTCCTCAGGAGTCAGCCTCATGATGTCTTCTGTCCATGGCTTGGTGCCAAGAGAGGCCCCTGCCACAAGAGACCTGAACCTCTTTCCTTCCTCTACTATTTGACCCCAATAGGTCTCTCACAAGAGACCTGGCAGTCAGCAGCCCGACCCAGCACATCTGGATTCCAATTGTGCATGGTAAGCATCTCTGAAGTCATCGCTTTCTTTTGGTCACCTCCATCTCCAGTGGACACAGCCCCCAGCCAGGCAATGGACCATATCTCACCATATCATAGCCTTTAGTAGCTACCTGTGTGGTCTTCCTGCTTCTACCCAGTGTGACCTGGACTCTACGGTCACCTTCTGAATGAAGTCTGGTTGTGTCAGCCCCCTCATTAAAACTTTCCAGGGCTTTCTTTGCTTTAGGATAAAGGTCTCTGCATAATTAATTAGAGCCCACTTTTCCCTCCAGCCTCTTCTGCATCTTCCTCACTCCGGTGATCTCCATGGCACTATTTCCTTCCCCCATAGTGCACATGCTGTCACTCACTGACCCCTCTTACCATGCTGAGTTAATTCCTGTTCATCCATTAGATATGTGTCATGGAGTTCCACAGCTCCTGTGTGCTTTTTTTTTTAAATCAGTATCTCTCATAGTTCTACTTTGCATGCCTATGTGGCTACTATGAGTCAGGAACTGAGTACTCTCTAACATTCTCTAACCTCTGCTCTGCAACCTGCAACCTTTAGTGGGTGCTTGTAGGGATTCCAGGTGTGTAGGACCATCTTGCGTCTAGGTCCTGTAAAGGAAATGAGGCAAATACATTTGTATGAGGCAAAACCTGGCAGCTACCAGGATAGGGGGCTAATAGAGACCCAGAGCATGGGAGTGGAGAGAATCAGGAAATGTGTAGCATTTGAAATGGCCTTTCAACATGGATGGAGTTTTTGATAGTGATGGGGGAAAAAACATCCTAAGGCCACAACACATGGATGAGATGATGTAAGCAGAGGTGGATTTATCTGGAGATGTCCATATGGTAATGGTGGGTGTCACTGTGACATCTCCACTCTGGCAGGGTCTTCATTGCCTTGTGGGTTGGTTCTCAAAGTGGTAGCCCATGGAGAGATGCAAGATTTTAGAGTCACAGAATAATGAAGTTGGAACTGTTCTCTAGGAAGGTACAAATGAGGGTGGCTCTCAGGTAGAGTTTTGGGGAGTGAGGCTGTGGTTACAGGGCTGTTTAGGAGGCTGTTCCAATCCTATCTGTCAGAGGGATGTCATCTTAGTTCTCTGAGACTTGCGTGTGCATCTACCGAGGGGAGGCAACAGGACCAGGCCTCGTTTTAGATAAGAAGTCATCAGAGAGCTATAGAGTTTGAACCTGGGCAAGTGGAAGGCTGAGTGTATCACTAACAGAGTGAAAGAGGAATGAGATAGAGAAGCGAGAGTCATGGGAGATGGATGGTGCTCATTGTTATTTTATCCTTTGTTTTTTCTCTAAATGTATTCTCTCCTCCTTTTCCCCCGTCTCATAAGGAATGATTCTGACTTATTTTCCTACAGGGAGTTGTCTTTAGTGTCACTCTTGTGGTTCATTGAATCTGGTATAGAAGGGATTTCTTTCTTTTCTTTTCTTTTCTGTCATAGTTCTTGAACTCTGGGTCTGGGTACTGTCCCTGAGCTTTTCAGCTCAAGGCAAGCGCTCTGCCACTTGAGCCACATCACCACTTTGGGTTTTCTGGTGGTTAATTGGAGATAAGAGTCTCCTGTCCGGGCTGGCTTTGAACCATGATCCTCAGAACTCAGCCTCCTGAGTAGCTAGGGTTACAGGCATGAGACACCGGCACCCGGCTAAAAGGGATTTCTGTGGTCCTGGGGATTTATTGTGAAGAACTGCCTCCCATCTGCCTCAGTTTAGAGGGCAGGAGTCCCTAGCTGCTCTGACAGAGGAGGTATACACAGGATTGAGCATGTTCTCTGGGCTCCTTTAGCTCTTATACCAGTGTGTCCTAGGAATGACAGTAGAAAGGACTATATACTTAATCACTGTAAAGATTTTTTTTTGCCAGTCCTGGGACTTGAACTCATGACCTGGGCATTGTGCCTGAGCTGCTTTTGCTCAAGGCTAGCACTCTGTCACTTGAGCCACAGTGCCACTTCTGGCTTTTTCTGTTTATGTGGTACTGAAGAATGTGGAACTGAGGGCTTCATGCATGCTAGGCAAGCACTCTATCACTAAGCCACATTCCTAGTCCAACTTTAAAGACCTTGAAGGAGACTGTTAGTGTATGTGTATGTGTGCGCACATGAACACTCTTACACGTGTGTACCTGTACCAGGGCTTGAGTTTAGGGCTTCTTGTTCTTGCTTTCTTTCTCATGGCTGGCACTCTACCACTTGAACCATACATCTACAGACTTCTCTACCTAGACTGGTCTCAAACTTCAACACTACAGGTCTCAGTCCTCTGAGTAGCTAGGGTAACAGGTGTGAGCCACTGGTACCCATTGTTTGTTTGTTTGTTCGTATACCTGTTGAGTGAATAAACCAGGATACTTTATTATGTTTTCTTGCTGGTTATTCTTAGATCCAGGTGTTAATTTTTTATTCTCCTGTAGGCATCGCTGGACCAAACAGTTGCTCCAGTGTTGGATGGCACCAGTTTGGGGGTAAGCGCAAGCCAATCTGTGGACAGAGGAAGCAGCCAGACCTTTGGGAGTTCCCAGAACTTAGGAGAACAGGCCTTCCCCTCTGGAAATCCCAGTGACAGCAGGTGAGAATTATTAAACTCATTCTCCATACGGTGGGAACAATTTAACCAAAGTTTCTGACTGCCAGAAATTATTTGTGGGACCCTGGGCAAGGCAGTCCTTCCCCAGAGCTGTATGATGGACTTATGACCTGTGCTCTAATCTCCCTTGCTCATAGGATAGCTAGGAGGTGTCCTTTGAGACATAGGAAGGTGTCAGGTCCCATGCAGGAGCACAGGGCTTCACAAAAGGGGCCCAGACCTGTCTGTTCTGGTCATCACAGTGCCTGTGGTGTGCTTGCACAAGATAGCATGCAGTCAGTAAGGAAGTGAACAGCGAATGAGTCATTTATTCTGGCCAAAGGTGACTGTTCTTTTTCTATTCATGAGTATCCAGAGAAGGATTTTGCCTGAGCCTCATTTGCTTTCAAAAGCGCCCTAGCTTTTTAAAATCTTGAAATGAATACATAATAACTGCACATATATATATATATATATATATTTTTTTTTTTTTTTTTTTTTTTTTTTTCGGTCGTGGGGCCTGAACTCTGGGCCTGGGCGCTGTCCCTCAGCTCTTCAGCTCAAGGCTAGCGCTCTACCACTTGAGCCACAGCGCCACTTCCGGCTTTTTTCTTATGTGGTGCTAAGGAATCGAACCCAGAGCCTCAGGCATGCAAGGCAAGCGCTCTACCACTGAGCCACCTTCCCAGCCCTAACTGCACATATTTATATAATATAAGGTAATGTACTCTGGCTTTTAAAGCCAACGTTAGTTTTGAGAAACTTTTTTTTTTGTCAGTCATGGGGCTGGAACTCAGGGCCTAGGTCTGTCCCAGAGCTCTTTTGCTCAAAGCTAGTGCTTTGAGCCATAGGGCCACTTCCAGTTTTTTAGTGGATAATTGGAAATAAGAGTCTCATAGGTGGGGGGGTAGGGGGGAGGCTGGGAAGGGATGTGAAGGATAAACAAAGGAGGAAGCTGCAATGCTTGGTAAGAAATGTACGCATTATCCTGCCCATGTAATTGTAACCCCTCTGTACAGTATATTCACAAATAAAATAAAATAAATTTAATAATAAAAAATAAATAAATAAATAAAAAGAGTCTCATAGGGACTTTTCTGCCCAGACCGGCTTTGAACCACAGATCTCCTGAGTAGCTAGGATTACAGGGATTGAGCCATCAGCATTTGGCTGAGAAATTTCTTTTTAACTTCTTTCCAGGCTATGCTTGCTTTAAAATAATTCTGCCCAATCTGTTCTTACTGCCTCACTGTACTGACTTGAGAGTCTTTGATAAATGATCTAAGAAACTTCTGTACCCCTTTCCCTGAGAGCAGACAATCCCATGGGTGCTCACCTGACCCCTGTCAGCAGTCACTTGGTTTCTTTTTTTCTTTTTCTTTTTTTTTTTTTTTGTCGGTCGTGGGGCTTGAACTCTGGGCTTGGGCGCTGTCCCTGTGCTCTTCAGCTCAAGGCTAGCGCTCTACAGCTTGAGCCATAGCGCCACTTCCGGTTTTCTAGTGGTTTATTGGAGATAAGAGTCTCACAGACTTTCTTGCCCGGGCTGGCTTTGAACCTCAATCCTCAGATCTCAGCCTTCTGAGTAGCTAGGGTTACAGGCGTGAGCCACTGGCGCCCGGCTCACTTGGTTTCTTTAATGTCATAAATCCTATGCTGGTTTTACCTTTGCCTCACATACCAGAGAACAGTCATTCTAGCCAATAGAGGTGATAATCACTTCAGTTCTAGGACGAAAAGAAAAACCATAGATGTGTAGCCTGGAAGTGAGAAGACCAAAAATGACCAGACAGGCAGAATCAGGACCAAAGACTGAAAATAACAGAAAGCAGATTTCATTTCTGGCCAAGGAATTAGCATGACGAGGGGCACCAGTGCACCAAAATGGGCTATATTTAGAGGAGCCTTTGAGAATGTTCCTGCTCGGAGGACACCCTCTTGCTCAAACTCATGGGCTCAGTAGAAACTTGGCATTAGGAGGAAATAAACTTTATGGGTCTTTACAGGTTTTTCCTAGCCTGAGGTTCTGGTTTTTATTTTTTTGATGTGATGTTGGGATTGAGTCTAGCGCCTTGTGCATGTTAGGCAAGTGCTATACCAGTGAGCCACACCCTTAGCCCCAAAATGTTGTGTGTGGGATGAAGGAAAGGAAGAGATTCTGAAGAGTTTGAGAGGCTTCTGGTCAAGCCTAGGACAACCCAGTTTAAGTGGTCCATTCAACTGCTGAGTATTGTGTGTGTGTGTGTGTGTGTATGAGAAAGGGGGGAAGGAGGGAGGGAGAGAGAGAGAAAGAGAGAGAGAGTGGCCTGGAACTGGAGATCCTCAAGCCTCAGTATCCTCTAAGTGCTGGGATTACAGGCATGCGCTGCCATGCCTGACTTGAGCGTGTTCCAAGGCACTGTCACATGATTAAGAGCAAACTGGAGCAGTATGAGGTAGAAAGCTCTGGGCTTTGGATGGTAGCTGACCCGAATTCTAATCCAGATCCTGATGTTTCTCTTCTCAGCTCTTTGGCCTTCACCAGCTCCTTGAACCAACCTGAGTTTCAAAGAGTCAAAGCTATTGTTGTAGTCTTTAGTATTGTTTCCCATTTGGGGCTATATGACTAGACTATCCATCCTGTACTTACTATCATACACATTAGCCTCACAACTACTCTGAAAATGCATCATTCACACATTTCAAAGGAGGAAACAGGCTTTAAAAAAGCCAGAGGAGCCGGGCACTGGTGGCTCATGCCTGTAATCCTAGCTACTCAGGAGGCTGAGATCTGGGATCATGGTTCAAAACCAGCCGGGGCAGGAAAAGTCCATGAGACTCTAATCTCCAGTAAACCACTCAGGAAACCAGAAGTGGTGCTGTGGCTCAAGTGGTAGAGTGCTAGCCTTGAGCTGAAGAGCTAAGGGACAGCGCCCAGGCCCAGAGTTCAAGCCCCACGAGTGACCAAAAAAAAAAAAAAAAAAAGCCAGAGGTCGGGTAGCTGGTGGTTGAGGATACTGAGATTCCAGCCTCTACGCTTTGGGTTAAGACTGACAAAATGACATGTGAAAAGATGTCAGACTAAAATCCAAGAGCAGTACAAGAAGATTTCTTGAAAATGCTTGGGCCTGAAGCATATTATTAACAGGGAGAGATGCTTATTCAGGGCAGGTGGATTTAGACCTGAGCCCACTTTATATTCTGCTTTTTTTTTTTTTTAAGTAGGAAACCACCCATGAACTACTGACCACCTGTGTACCCTTTTGTTTTGTGCCCCTCTGTGTTACAGCTCTCAGCAGCAGGCGACAAGCTGTTTAACGTCATCCTCCACTCTGGTGGAGATCCTGGAAGCCATGAAGCACTCCTCGTAAGTGGCTCATCACATTACACATGGTACAGAGGCAGGAGGTCATACAAGGCCTAGGCCACATCAGTGCTCAGGTAGTGTGGAGCCCTACTCAGCTCTGCTCTTCACCAGCTGTGGCAAGTTACTCCTTTTTTTTTGGTCAGTTGTGGGGCTTGAACTCTGGGCCTGGGCACTGTTCCTGAGCTCTTCTGCTCAAGGCAAGCACTACCACTTGAGCCACAGCACCATTTCCTACTCCTTTTTTTGGGAGGGAGTCATTTGTGGTGCTTGAACCCAGGGCCTGGGCACTTCCCTGTGTTCTTTTGCTCAAGGCAAAGGCTCTACCAGGTTGAGCCACAGCCTCACTTTTGTTTTCTGATGGTTCATTAAAGATAAGAGTCTTCTAGACTTTTCTGCCCAGGCTGCCTTTGAACCTTGATCCTCAGATCTGAGCCTCTTGAGTAGATAGGATTATAGGTGTGAGCCAGGTGCCCAGCTTTGTGGCAAGTTATTTCTCCAAGATCCATTACCTGGTTTATGTAGTGTTTTTTCTTTTATTTTTTTTAAGCTGTTAAGCGAATGGTTGATCAAAGGATTAAATTAAGTAGCTATGTCATACTCCTTGCCCCATAACTTTTTTTCTTTTCTTCTCTCTCTTTTTTTTTTTTGTGCTCATCCTGGGGCTTGAACTCAGGGCCTGGGCACTGTTCTTGAGCTTTGTTCAAGGCTAGTGCTCTACCACTTGCCCTGTAGCAACACTTCTGGCTTTTTCTGAATAGCTTATCGGGAATAAGAGTCTCACAGACTTTCTTGCCCCACGGGCTTCAAACCACAATCCTCAGATCTCAGCCTCCTGAGTAGCTAGGATTACAGGCATGAGCCACCAGAGCTTGGCTGGTGGCTGGAGATTTCTCTTGATCTAGAAATTGCTTTCTGAGTTTCTTCACTTCAGATAGTAAATGCTTTTTCTTCCTGCTTGTGGCCACTGGGAACACACATACCCTGCTCGCTGTGTTGGAACCCAGGACAGGAGTCCAGCTGCTCTCTGAACAGAAAGGCCTCTCACCGTGCTGCTTCGTCAGTGCTGAGGGGGTGCATTGGCTGATGAACAACGTGGAGGGGGTGCAGACACAGGCCATGGCCATTGACATCATGCAGGTGAGGCAGCAGGCTGGCCTGCAGAACTGCGTGCTCTGGTTCTTGGGGAACTAGGACCTGGCTTGGAAATAGTTACCTTTTCCAGTAACAAGCTCCATAATTGGGGTGAGGATCTGTTTTTAATAAATGTGAGGCCTATCAGAAATTTACAAAGGTTGGATATTCTTTGGAAATATATTTTAAAGACCTTAGAACTGGGTGTGGTGACACAAGCTTGTAATCCCAGCACTCAGAAGTGGAGGCAGGAAGATCAAAGGCAGCCTGGGCAACACAAGATTCTGTTTCGAAAGATCCAAAACTCCTTAAAAGTCTGCCCGGATTTACCAGAACTGAAATATTCTGGAAATAAGCTTCACAGTTTTTCCCCCACTTTAGTCAGTTTTTCCCCCACTTTAGTGTGTGTGCCTGTGTGTGTGTTGGTCTTGAGGCTTGAACTCAGGACCTGAGTGCTGTCCCTTAGCTTTTTTTACTTATGGCTAGTGCTCCACCACTTGAGCCACAGCTCTGCTTCTGGCTTTTTGGTGGTTCATTGGACATAAAGATTGTCACGGAGGCCAAACACCAGTGGTTTATGATTATAATCCTAACTACTCAGAAGGCTGAGATCTGAGGATTGTGGTTTGAAGCTAGTTAGAGCAAGAAAGTCTATCAGACTCTTATTTCCAATAAACTACCAAAAAGCCAGAAATAGAGCTGTTGCTGAAGTGGTAAAGTGCTAGCCTTTAGCTAAAGAAGCTCAGAGATAGTGCCCAAACTCTTGAGTTTAAACGCCCATACCAGCACACAAAAAATAAATAAAATTGCCATGCGCCAGTGATTCATGCTTATAATCCTAGCTACTCAGGAGATTGAGATCTAAGGATCACCATTCAAAGCCAGCCCAGGCAAGGAAAGCCCATGAGACTCTTCAATAAACTACTCAGAAAAAGTCAGAAATGGCATTGTGGTCCAAGTGTAGAATGCTAACCTTGAGCACAAAGAGACTCAGGGATAACACCGAGACCTTGAGTTCAAGCCGCAGGACAGGCAAAAATAAATAAATAAAAATAAAATAAAATGATGTGATATTTGCATGAAACCCAGGCATGTCTCTCAAATACTTTAATCTCAAGAATCCTTACAATACCTAATAGAATGTAAATGTTGTGGAACTAGTTATTATACTGTATTTTTAGGGAGTTATGACAAGAAAAAAGGGTCCATATGTGTTTAATGACGCAACTTTTTCTCTCTCTTTTTTTTTTTTTTTGGTCAATCACGGGGCTTGAACTCTGGGCCTGGGCGCTGTCCCTCAGCTCTTCATCTCAAGGCAAGCGCTCTACCACTGGAGCCACAGCACCACTTCCAGTTTTCTGGTGGTTAAATTGGAGATAAGACTCTCACGGACTTTCGTGCCCTGGCTGGTTTTGAACCAATCCTCAGATCTCAGCCTCCTGAGCAGCTAGGATTATAGGCATGAACCACTGATGCCCCGCCTTTCCAAATATCTTTGCTCTGTAATTGGTTGAATCCACAGAAACAGAGAGCTGAATGTATATGCAAGATTCAATTCTAGCTGTGGTTTCAGTCATCTTTAGGGAGGGGGGTCTTAGAAACCCATTCCTCTTGAAAATGTTAAGTTTGATAAACTCCAATGATGGTCCATCTGGATAATGTTTATACTTTGCTGTGTGTATAAAATATTTGATGGTGGGCTGGGAAGGTGGCTCAGTGGTAGAGTGCTTGCCTTGCATACATGAGGCCCTGACTTTGATTCCTCAGTACCACATAAGCAGAAAAAGCCGCAAGTGGTGCTATGGCTCAAATGGTAGAGCACTAGCCTTGAGCTGAAGAGCTGAGGGACAGTGCCCAGGCCCAGAGTTCAGGCCCCACGACCGGGGGAAAAAAAAAAGATAAAAAAGAAATATTTGATGGTAATAGCATGCATTAACATTTTGTGCTATAATCTACACCAGACAAATTGCACCGTGCATTCTTCTAGACTCCTCTGTGCAACCTAGCTTGACTCTCTGAGGTCCCTCTGGGTAAGTTTCAGAGTTTCATTGTTTTTCCTAGAAAATGTTGGAAGAGCAACTCATCACACATGCATCTGGTGAAGCCTGGCGTACCTTCATCTATGGCTTCTATTTCTACAAGATAGTGATGGACCGAGAGCCAGACCGAGGTCAGAGCCAAAGCAAATGCAGATGCCCCAGGGGGAGGGTTTTCCCTGGTGACTTGCTCTTCTACCTGACAGTGCTTCCTGAACTCCTTGTGTACCTTTGTAATCTGAGTTTACAGATCTATCAACTTCCTTGAGCCTTTGCACTTAATTTTAGTATAATCAGAGTGACAAGCATTTCTTAAGTTATAACATATTCTTATTGAGGACACTGTGGGTAAAAGATAAACCTTGAGGCCCAGGGACCTGGTGTGAGAAATTCTAAGGTCAGTTTTTGGGATTCTGTTTCTCTTTTCTTTTTCCTTTCCTTTCCTCTCCTTTCCCTTTCCTTTCCCTCTTCCTTCTCCCCCTCCTCTCCCTCCCCCTCCTCCTCTTCCTCCTCCCCCCTCCTCCCCCTCCTCCTCCCTCTCCTCCCCCTCATCCTCTTCCTCTTCTTTCTCCTCTTCCTCCTCCTCCTCCTCCAGCACTAAGACATGAACTCTGTGCATGATACTTTTGCTTACTGGCTGATGCTCTAACAACTGAGCCATGCCTAAGAAGCTCCTTGGGCTCTGTATTTATTTTTATTTATTTATTTATTTATTTTTGTCAGTCATGGGGCTTGAACTTTGGGCCTGGGCACTGTCCCTGCACTCTTCAGCTCAAGCCGAGCACTCTACCACTTGAGCCACAGTGCCACTTCCAGTTTTCTAGTGGTTTATTGGAGATAAGAGTTTCATGGATATTCCTGCCCAGGCTGGCTTTGAACCTCGATCCTCAGATCTCAGCCTCCTGAGTAGCTGGGATTACAGGCATTAGCCACCGGCACCGGCTTGGGCTGTTTTTTTTTTTTGGGCCGGTCATGGGGCCTGAACTCTGGGTCGGGGCGCTGTCCTTCAGCTCTTCAGCTCAAAGCTAGGCTCTACCACTGGAGCCACAGCACCACTTCCAGCTTTTTCTGTTTATGTGGTGCTGAGGAATCGAACCCAGGGCCTCATGCTTGCAAGGTATGCACTCTACCACTGAGCTACCTTCCCAGTTGGGCTCTGTTTTTAAATAAAGCACCCTACTTTACGTTGCTTGCAAGGTATGCACTCTACCACTGAGCTACCTTCCCAGTTGGGCTCTGTTTTTAAATAAAGCACCCTACTTTACGTTGACTTAGCCATTAGAATCACGTCAGGTGGGCTCCACTCTTATGAATCATGTGCTGGGTTTCCAAGCTTTGTTTCTTTCCCTAGGAAGTCTAGTAAGTGCTGGCAAGTTTTTCAAGACATGTCTTAGAGTTATCATTTGATATCTCCCCTAGGATAGAAAGTTCCATGATGCTACTGGGCTGGGAAGGTGGCTCAGTGGTAGAGCGCTTGCCTTGCATGCCTGAGGCCCTGGGTTCAATTCCTCAGCACCACATAAGCAAAAAGAAAAAAGCCAGAAGCGAAAAAGAAAGTTCCATGATGCTCAATTCTCTTATACAAAATGATGCAATATTTGCATATAACCTGTGTGTCACATCACCTGTGAAGTTTAAATCATTTCTTTTTTTTTGGGGGGGGGGTCCGGTCATGGGGCCTGAACTCTGGGCCTGCGCGCTGTCCCTCAGTTCTTCAGCTCAAGGCTAGTGCTCTACCACTTGAGCTACACAGTGCCACTTCCGGCTTTTTTCTTTTTGCTTATGTGGTACTGAGGAATCGAACCCAGGGCCTCATGTATACAAGGCAAGCGCTCTACCACTGAGCCACCTTCCCAGCCCGAGTTAAGTACAGATGCAGGTTGCTTTTCCCTCAGAATATTTTCCATATGTGGTTTATTGAATCTATGGATGTAGAACCCATGGGTCTAGAGATCTGTTTGGGTTTTTGTTTGCTTGGTTTTTTTTTTTTTTTTTTTTGGTTTTGGTGGGTTTTTGGGTTTGGGTTTTGGTGGTGAGAATCAAACCCAGAGCCTTGAACATGCTAGGAAAGTGGTTTGCTACTAAACTGTACTTCTTGTTTTTGTACATCTGCAACTACTGGGGAAGGGCGCACGCCTGGCGTGCGCAAGGCATCTGCAACTACTCTACAGCTGAGCCACACCCATAGTCTTTTTAGAAAAATGTGGAAAAGTGATCCCCAAGGGGTTGGAGGCGTGGGTCGGCTGGTAGAGTGTTAACCAATAAGCAAAAGAAGGCATCAGGTACTATTTGAGTCCCATTGATGCATTTCCCTTAAATTTGACCTGTTTCATCCTCAAATTAAAAACTAAAACAACAGCAACAAATATTTAGATTGTTACATTCTCTACTCTAACATTAGGAGTGGGAAATTGAGGATAAAATTATTTATTTATTTTTGGTTGGTCATGGGGCTTGAATTCTGGGCCCGAGCACTGGCCCTCAGCTCTTTAGCTCAAGGCTAGCACACTACCACTTGTGCCACAGTGCCTCTTCTGGCTTTTTCTTTTTTTTTTTTTTTGTTGGTCATGGGACTTGAACTCTGGGCCTGGGCGCTGTCCCTCAGCTCTTCAGCTCAAGGCGAGCGCCCTACCACTTGAGCTACAGCACCACTTCCTCTTCTGGCTTTTTCTGCTTATGTGGTGCTAAGGAATCAATCCCAGGGCCTCATGCATGTGAGGCAAACACTACCACTGAGCCTCCTTCCCAGCCCCAAATATTTTTTTAAAATAGGACTAAATTTCACATAACATAAAATTAACCATTTAAGGGGATATTTAGTAGTATATTTGTGGGTGTTGTATGAACAGCACCACTGTATTAGTTTCAGATCCTTTTTACCACCTTAAAATGGGTCCCTTACCCTGTTAGCCATCATTCCCCAGCTCTTCCTCCTCTTCTCCATCTAGGCAGCTTTTGTTCTCTAAAGATTTATATCCTCTGAACATCTCATACAAAAGGAGTTGAATAATGTATGGCCTTTTATGTCCAGTTTCTCTTACTGTGTGTGTTTTTAAGGTTCATCCACGTTGTCGCATGGGTCTGTACAAATGTTAGTGTTTGCAATGAGAATCCTTCACTCCCTTGTGCTCTTCCCCAGTGGCCATGCAGCAGCCCACGGCCACCTGGCACACGGCAGGGGTGGACGACTTTGCCAGCTTCCAGCGCAAATGGTTTGAAGTGGCCTTTGTGGCAGAAGAGCTCTTGCATTCGGAGATTCCTGCCTTCCTCCTGCCTTGGCTCCCCAGCCGGCCAGCCTCCTATGCTAGCAGACACAGCTCCTTCAGCCGCAGTTTTGGAGGACGTAGCCAGGCAGCCGCACTTTTAGGTATGTGTTCGCCCTGCTTTGAGTCTGGTGGCTGCATTTGGCAGGTGGCTGGGAGAGGATGGTAGCCAACAAAGATAATGATACCATGTGAACGAGGATTACAGCCACTGTGACTGTCACACTATCTATTAGCATTGAGGATTCCAGTGCTATCTTCCAACCAGCTGACAGTATTTAGCATCTCTCAAATCAGAGCATGGTATCTGTCAAACCCCTGTACCATAGGAGAGAATAGGAAAATTTTTACTTTTTTCTGAGAGAACCTTAGGATTTAGGGGATATAACTGGTACTCACAGTGTGTTTAGCTCCTCAGGGGCCTTTCCTACAATTCTAGCATCCTAGGTTCTCAGAAGAAGAAAGGGCCTAAAAGGTCATCCATTCCACATACTGGCAAGGCCTGAATCCCTCCCTTCATCTCTTCCTTCCAGGTCTGCTTGCCAAATTGAGGGATGTGAACTGAAAGTCTTTCCCCCTTTCTGTGGTTCTCTGACTCTAAGACAGGAATGAATATCTAGTGACCTTTTGATTGGAAATAGGACCTGTGTTCTAGAGGACCCAGCAATGGGCTGAGATGCGGGAGTCGGAAAATACATCCTCTGGATGAGATACCATAGGATTTTTTTTGGGGGGGGTCTGGTCATGGGACCTGAACTCTGGGCCTGGGTGCTGTCCCTCAGCTCTTCAGCTCAAGGCTAGCACTCTACCACTTGAGCCACAGCGCCACTTCCGGCTTTTTTCTTTTTGCTTATGTGGTGCTGAGGAATTGAACCCAGGGCCTCGTGCATGCAAGGCAAGCGCTCTACCACTGAGCCACCTTCCCAGCCCTACCATAGGATTTTTTAAGCCAGGTTGTAGCATACCTACAAGGTTAGTGTTCTATCACTTGAGCCACAGCTCTACGCCCATCCTGCACATCCTTTGGAAAGCAGGAAGCAACTGTGACATAGACCAAACTCCAGTGGAATGCCATGTTCTGCTTCATTCTCTGGTGAAGGCCCAGCTAGATAGAATCCTTGCCTAACTAGTAAAATGGAAACCTTAACAGCCAACACAGTTTCCAGAGCCTCAGGTTCACTGAGATCCTTCACCCTCATAGCTGCACCTGTAGGTGCTCAGTATTGCATATGAAAAGTGGAGAGGGCAGGAAAAGAGCCACAGGGGTGCAGAGCCGTCCTCCCTTTAACCCAACCTGGGAGGCGTTGAAGCAGGTGCCAGGCCAATGTGAAGTAAGGGACTGTTTTTAGAGCAGGACACATAAATGGTCAGAGGAGGCCCAATAGAAGGAAGCACTGTCCTCTGCCCTGTCCTGGCCCCTGGGCTCCTCCCATGCTTTTAACGATGTCATTTCTGGCTGCTCCAGCCCTGCCTGATGTGACAGTGCTAGTAAAAGCATCCATGCCAGGTTTCTGAGTGTTGATGAGTCAGACACTATACCAAGCAGAAAAGACCTTGTGTCATCCCAGTCCTGCAACAGGATGACTAAAACATTAGAGTTCTGGAGACTGATTCTTAGTTTGTCTAATGCTCTGGTTCTGCATCTACTGGATGCTAGAGCTGGAGTTTAGTCTCAGGATCACCTGGCCTTAAAGCCTGAGCTCTACTGCACCTGGATCGGTTAGGACTTCAGGTGATTCATACAATAGTCAGGTTCAGGAACAACTAACTGCTGCCCTTGCTATAAAAGCATAGCTGTCTCAGTGTGGCTTCTCTTCTCTCTCTGCCACCCTGCATGTCTTTCCTGCAATTCCACCTATGTCCTAGATCCAGCCACTGGGATCCCCACCAGGGTCTACAGCTAGTTGGTCTTGTCTCCATCATCTTTCTAGTCTCCATCATCCATTGCATGTCTTCACTTGCCTCATTGCACAACTTAGAGCCACTAAGCCTCCAGCCACTGCCCCCAAACCCATCCTTAGTGTTCTATGTCCCTGAGCAAATAGAAGCTTTTAGAAGTGAATTCCCAGCTGGGTGCTGGCGGCTCATGCCTGGGATCCTAGAGACTCAGAAGGCTGAGAGCTGAGGATCCCGGTTCAAAGCCAGCCCAGGCAGGAAAGTCTATGAGATTCTTATCTCCAATTAACTACCAGAAAACCAGAAGTGGTGCTGTGGTTCAAAGTGGTAGAGCACTAGCCTTGAGCACAAAAGCTCAGGGACAGTGCCAGGCCCTGAGTTCAAGCCCAATGACTGACCAAAAGAAGAAGAAGAGAAGGAAAAGGAGAAGGAGAAGAAGAAGGAAGAGGAGGAGAGGGAGGGGGAGGGGAGAAGAAGAAAGAAAAAATTTCCTATTTGCCCTCACTAGTAGCTGTGTGGTAAAGTGAAGGGGAGGGAGTCCTGAGGATTTCTGGGGCACTGTTCCCCACTGTCCCAGATATTCTCAGGGGCTTCCTCACTCACTCCTAGTTCTCCTCTGAGGTCACACAGGAGTGAGACCTTCCCTAGCCCCACCCTCCACTCCCTGGGCCACTGAGACTCAGCTTCTTTGTCTCCTTTGCTCTCATCACTACCTGACATTCTGTTTGTACAGCCTGTGTGTTTTTCTACTTTCACAAGGATTTAAGCTATGGGATGAACTTTTGTTTCATTCAATATCTGTCTCTGTACCTAGAGACCGCTTGTCACCTAGTCAGCTTAACACATATCTGCTAGATGTGTGAAAGCATGAATGAACGTGGTTCGGCAGAACTGGGGGCATTGAATGGGTGCATTAGGTCTGGAATCAGCAAACTTTCTGACCCTAAGCAATTGTCAGACAGTTGTTTGGCCGTGTCATTCTGTTGGCCCTCCTACTCTAGGAACAAACAAACCACCTATTACCTTAGAGTCAATGTGCTCACCTCACCCTCCAGGAGACAAGGCCCATGTCCCAGAGGTCTGGACCCAGTCGCAGCCCACTGCATTTCCTCCTTAATTTTTCTGGAAAGCTTCAGGTATGCATCCTTGTGCAGGTTCTCAAGCTCTCCTGACATTGTCTGTACAAACTCCTTTCCAAAATCGTTTCCTTTGGTGGCTGGTCAAACCTATTGATGGTTGTAGTCTCCCATTCAAGATCAGAGTCCATTCTCATAGTTTAGCTCTGGTTCTCAGTGCTGAAAGAATAGTCCATAGAAAAAATAAGTCATGGCTGTCAGTAGCTTACACCTGTAATCCTAGTTACTCAGGAGGCTGAGATCTGAGGATCACAGTTCAAAGCCACTCCGGGCAAGCAAGTCTGTGAGACTCTCTAATAAACTACTCAGAAAAAGCTGGAAGTGGGTGCTGTGGCTCCCAAGTGGTAGAGCCCTAACCTGGAGCCGTAGAGGCTTAAGGACAGCACCCTGGCTCAAAGTTTTGCCCAGGACTGGCAAAAAAAAAAAAAGGAGAGCAAGAGGAAGAGGGGAGAATTTTTAGTCCCAGCAGGTAGTTTTATAAACCAGTATTCTCTACCTGGGGTCTGCGTCCAGGCCTCAGGGGCTCAGTGAATCTGAAACCAGACAGAATTTTATGTAGATATATTTTCCCAGAAAACATGCTGGCTTTTCAATGTTTCCCATGGTTGTTAAAAAGAATTTCATTCCATCACCTCTCCCAAAGGCCGTGGCGAGTTTTTGTTTTTGTTTTTTTTCCTTTTAAACCTAATATGACCTTATTAAAGCTAATTTTATCCAGTGGTAATTTTCAGACCTTTCTGTTCAAACATGAAATGGTTCTTCCCAGCATTCTGCTTGCTTGTTTTACTTTTTCTTTTCTTTCTTTTCTTTTTTTTTGAGATAGTAGCTCAGGCTGATCCTCTTGCCTCATCCCTCTGAGTTTTGGGATTTCAGATGTGTGCCACCACACCTAGCTTCTTCCCAGGTTAAAATAGAGGCTGTGTCCTTTACTTATGTGAGAAAGAGCTATTGTCTTTTTTTTTTTTTTAAGCTGGTCCTGAGGCTTGAACTCAGTGTTTTGGATACTGTCCTTGAACTTCTTTGCTCAAGTCTAGCACTCTACCAATTGATCCACAGCTTTCCTTCTGGCTTTTTGAAGGTTAATTGGAGATAAGAATCTCACAGACTTTCCTGCCCATGCTGACTTGGAATCCCAATCCTCAGATCTTAGCTTCCTTAGCTAGGATTACAATCATGAACCACCAGTACCCAGCTAATGCTATTGTCTTCAAATTAGGTTATCTTCTAGCTAGGCATGGTGGCACATGCCTGTAATCCCAAAGCTTGGGAAACTGAGGCATGAGGATTTCAAGTTTGAGATCAGTCTGGACTACATAGCAAATTTGAAGACAACTAGATGACATACTGAGGCGCTATCTCAAAACAAAAAACAAACAACCACAAAAAAAAAAAAAAAATCAAGCTAGGCCCCAGTGGCTCATGCCTGCTGTAATCCTAGCTACTTAGGAATCTGAGATCTGAGAATGGGGGTTCAAAACTAGGCCAGGCAGGAAAGTCTGTAAACCTCTTAACTCTAATTAACCATCATCACCAAAAAAAAAAAGCTGAAAGTGGAGTTGTGGCTCAAGTGTAGGGTGCTAGCCTTGAGTGAAAATCTAAAGAATAGTACACACGCACACGCACACGCACACACCGGCTAGGCTAAAAGCCTGTGAATTGTTTGTAATTTATTCCTTGTTTGGTTGTTTGGTTATTGTTCTCTCTCTCTCTCTCTCTCTCTCTCTCTCTCTCTCTCTCT